TTCTTAAAATTAAGTCTAGTAGAATTCAAATTCTTTACTAACAATATCTGAATAATAAATATTATTATTTTATATTCCATCTTTTATACTTTAATATGAAAGTGTTACTAACAAAATGATAATAAAAAATTTATATCATAAATCAGTTACTAAATATTTATACCATAGAATTTTAGTAATTACAAAATTGTGATAATTATGCCAATTTACTAACTACATTGTTAAACCCATCCCAAGTGCTGTGATAATAAAGTGTGAATATACTTTTGACGACAAAAATCTTAGGACAATGTTAACATCAAAAATAAAGAAAGTTGTAATACAAAAATATCTCCACATTTAACTAAATATTATCCTAATAATCAGGCTCAAACTTAGGTACATAACACACATACATGGACAAATAAAAGTTGATCACAAGTTACAGAGTAAGAAAAATAAATTTTTATTGATAGGAAAGTACAGTAGAAGTAGGACACACACAGTGGTAAGAATACACAAAATTTAACCTCTCTTGACAAGCCTCACATATAGATGTAATTGAAAATGGAAGTTACAGTTAACTACAGGAAGTCCCAAGTTACTACTATCATTTAAACTACCATTCTTTGTATGCATCCAACTATTTTACCTAATAAGTTTACTATTCACAGATACTCGAGACTATGAGAAAAGTTCAAGTTTTCATGATATTTTTGTGCAAAACATTATTAGTTCATTCCAATTAAAATAGATGATGAACCACAAAGCTAAGTAAAAAAAAAAACATCACTTTATTGGAACCCCCATCTTATACCAGGTTAGAACTTAGACTTACTTTAAGTTTAACCATAACTGTAGTCTGAAGTTCGAATGTTATACATGTATACTCCACAAAATGATGGATGATGTCTTGTTCAATTGTTAAGGGTTATGGCATGCAAAAATATACGGTAACTATATAGGCCTAAGGAAATACCATGCTAATATATATAGGACAGGACAAGAAATATTACTTCTACAAAGTAACTAAATATGCACAATGGCTAACTCAAAGTCAAATCCAAATATGCAAACACACTGATTGATTCACTCTATAAATTTAATTACTCCGCTTATTGACTGACTCACCCGTATACCTAAACTAACTTAGAATATATTAGAAACTCGGATACAAATCTATTTCTAAATATATCGTAGTCATTAATCATCCATGATGTTAATTTATCTCCCGGTGGATCAGCGATAAACTTACTGACTTTACAACTAAAAAATCTGGTGCAGATAGGCTATTGTGTAACTTTGCATTAAATAAATAATAAAAATATAAAAAAAACAGCGACAAGGTCAGTTTAGAATATTCTGGGCCTACTTCCACAAACTCAGTTGAACTAGTGTCACGCGCTCACTAGCTAATAAACAAATTACAACATTCAAAATATAGCTTATAACATTATTTAACTAAATGCTAACTTGATTTTCTTTTAAAATGAGATAAACAAGTTTTTAAGGAATCTGAAGGGCTTCTTTTTTTGCCACCCAGTGGCTCAGGGTTATATCTGCTGACTTACAACGCTAGTATGAACGCAGTATGAGTTTCATGATATTGTTACGTCTCCGATTGTTAATTGATTTTCCGTAACTTCGTTCCGACGAAACTTAAGCGACACAAGTTCTTTCTTAATAAAAACTGGTTTATTATTTCCGAATACAACTTTACCGATACACTCAACTTCAACAATCGCGCTAAAC